ATATTTATCTATCGATATAGTAAAAATCTATATATATCAATTTATCTACATTGAGAAAGTCAGTATCTATCTATCTATATTTCTATCTAGTAAAAATATCTATCTATCTATTTATCTACACACACACACGCACACACACACACACACACATACACACACACACATATATATATAGTGAAAATATATATGCTTTTTCCTTTCCTTTGTTTTGTTTTGTTTTACAGCATATCAACCCCAATGGGTTATTTAATGTCGACAATTTTTTTTTATTGCTGGTAATATTTTTTTCAGAAAGTATTTTTGTAATATTTTTTCCAAAAATGTATTGCTTGTGATAATGTGTTGCGAGTAATATTTATTGCTGGTAATAACTTTTTACAAAAATGTTTTACTGGTATTAAAACCTATTTTTACACGTTTTGACCCCAATTTGGGTCTTAACTATTTGCCTATAGCTGGTGCTATTATCCCGAGTCAGGGTGGAGCGAGGAACATCAGCAATTAAGAGGTGGTTCCACTCTCCTCAAAGCCTCCTGATCAGAGGCCTTGCTGTTGGACGTAGTTTACCGTTTTATCCAGGACGCAGACGTAGTTTATCGTTATACTCAGGACGGGGTGGCTTTTTGTTTAATCCCATTGACTCCAATGAGTTACATAGTGTCACGTCTCTCAACAATCCTAATCGTTGCCGCTGTGGTTTCCATAGTAAGTAGTTTTTTTTTACAGGTTTACAAGTTAGTAGCTTCATGTCCGATTAGTTTTGAATTCAGAGATGTTCTTCACTGGTTACCAAGCAACGCCAAAGAGACCAGTCTGCTCTACTATTTAGCCTATAGCTGGTGGGGAGATAGATTCATGCCTTTCCCAATACTATTTGCGCATAAATGAACGTAACGAACTCGATTGGAATTCGATCTCTATCCATTATCCTCTACCCAGTGAGGTGGTATGGGACTTGAAAAAAACTACTATAATATGAAATAAGCAATGTAGTTAACCACGTTAGTTGGATATTTTCTTAATAAACAGACCTTGAATTAAAATGGTATAGACATATAGCTTTAAATTCAAATTGTATGGACAGATCATAATTTTTAATAACTATTTTATCATCGTCTTACAAGGCACCTCCTTACACAAAACACGAAGTTGAAAGAGGAAAAATGATCTGATAATGTCACTGAGTGGGTTGGAAGATCATTCAAGGAGGTTCAGACATTGGCACGCAACCGAGACATATAAAGGAAACTGGTCATTTGCTCAATTGTACGGCGACCACGACCGGGTTATGAGCCTAATATTGATGACCTCGAATATAAATGTTCACGCGATTTTTCTGTGTTTGAATAATAAATCATTAAATTGCAATGATCAACAAACGGATCTCACAAGCCATTGGCAGTATGGTGTTCACTAGTTTCTTAAACATAGCTCATTTCTTATAAATAAATAAATAAACAGTGTGATTGAAAAGTAACTCCCTATTTTATGTATGAGTAATCAGCCAGGAGTCCTTACTTAACACCCAGTGTGTTTTTCTTTGGGCGTTGGTTAAAACCAGAAGTATACTATACCAAAGCAAGACTTTGGAAGAACTTAAAGAGCAAGTAAAAGAAGTTATGTCTTCCATACCACAAGTGTTCCTGGTGAAATTAGTTGACGCGATTCCTGGTCGGCTCTAGAAGCTGGTAGCGAAATCTTGTGCCCATATCGAATTTTAAATAAAAACTCATTCTAAACGTTTTCCTCTCATATCAGTTTCTTATAAAAATTATAGTTAATAAATAAATTACAAGTATTTTAAAATGGAGAGTTACTTTTCAATGACTCTGTATATTTGATTATTTTTCCGGGGTTGTTAGAAATGATAGATTTCAAATTTTCTGCAAGTAAAACATCTCGATATTGATTTAGACTAAGAAAAATCGATAATACGGGAACGTATTTTCTAATTGATTACTTGTATTTTCTTTATGTTCAAGTCAATTTAGTTTTTTCCACGATCTATTTAGTTTATAACGCGTGTAAGAAGACATAGTTAAAATTCAATTATCAAGTGCAACTGAACTGAGGTTTTAATTCGTGTAAACTCTTTGATAGATACGCCTCATAGATTGAGCGGCAATTGGTGATAATAGTAAAAGAATTTACCCTTTTTCATCAGCGCTCTATTAATTCGGCCAAGAAACGTGTTGTCAAGTTCCTGCGAAGAAACCTTCAAATAATCATACTAAATATAACTTGAAGACAGTGAAATTACCTTTCGAATTGTGCTATGGTTCCTCAGAATCGGCCAGCGTTTTGATCAATTCATAAAAGGGGATCGCTGATAAATTTAGAATAATATTAAACCATAAAAAAGAACTGTAAAGAAAAAAATAGACTTTATCAGAGAGAAAATAATAACAGACAGATATTTGGCCAACTTAGGTTACATCGGATAATTCCAAGCAGTAGAGGAAGTCCTTCTGCATGCACAAAGACGGTTGACGTCAAGAAACAAACAGATAGTGTAAAATCCTTAAGGGAAAAGCGATTTATTTCCTGCGAGACTACGGATTAATTCTACTGAAAAAATACCAAACTAACTGATGAAAAAAACACAAATCGATCCAACCATTTACCGCCAAAAAGTGAAGTTAATGGATTCCCGAGAATGATCGAAATTTTGAACTAATAACAAAGAAGAGAGGAATGCCTTAACAAGATTTCACAAAAACAGTTTATTTTAGCTGTTGATTGCATGCGTTTCAAATTATCTTTCTTTCACCTATTCTAATGCTTGTTAGCGATAGGTATTTTTCTGAGCAACTGATCACTTTGCTGAGTACTGATAACCTGATTCCCGAAATTTTCTTCCTATGAAACATTTCCTAATTATAGATGTTATTCTTGCGTATTTAGAGATTTATCGTGGACTGTGTATGCTCATATATTCGTTACCAAAAAACTGAGTAAATGAAAAATGAAAAATAATTACATTATTTTATTGAATTTCTATGAAAAAGATCGCGCACCAAATTGCTCTGAGTGAGTCAAAAAATAATGTGGTAAATACGTAACAGATGAGGCTAATTGCATAATGGTTACTGATTCGGAAAGTGGGATTACCGTTCAGGGTTCCAATCCCAGCCAAGTCGGTGGCGTCCAGTTTTTTAATACTCTCGGGAAATATATCCATTTTCTTTTCACGACTATACATTAAATAACAGGGTAGGTTGGGATCTTGAGCTTTGGTTACTAGTTTAGGAATTGGACAATACTCAATTCAAAAGCGGTTTGGCGTGGAGATAGCTACTCGACACCGTAAAACGTACTTCCTAGTAAAACTGCATTAACAATGTCTATTGGAGTTTATCTGAGGCCCTACGCTCCACACACAGTTTGAAGATTTAAGAAGAACAATGACATAGGACAATTCAAAAGCCCATCTAACAAGGGTTTGGTTATGTTGTGGCCTTTTTAGAGGCCAGAAAGAAAGACACGGAAGACGAAGGTATATTGAATAAGTGTATTGAAATAACAGATGTATACAAAGCAAGAGTGTTAGTAATAAGCAGATAGAGGTGTACGTCCGAACGGTAGGTTAACATGGCGTCTCCGCTGCCCTACGACTCTATATTTAATAGTCCACTCACGAGGAATGTATGTGGCACAAGGCCGAGTTTAAAGTGGGTTTCTCCGAACCCGTAGGCTCGGCCAAAGCAGAGAGTTCGACAGAAGTCGCACACAGTCAGAGACTGCTCTACGACTCGATATTCAGTCACCCCTCCCACTGGGGCATCATATGACACAAGGTCGGTTATTTATTGTGGGTTCTCCGAGCCCTTAGGCTCGGCCAAAAATATACCTTTTGAACCTGCCTAGACGGGTTCAGGGCCTGTCTACCTCCCCAGACGAAACCTTGCCCTTCGGCAAAGCTTCGTCCGGGTTCCTCTCTGCCAAAGCAGAGAGTTCGACAGAAGTCGTACACAGTCAGAGACTGCTCTACGACTCTGCTCTAGGAAGTCTCGCAGTTAGTATTTATGAGAGGAGGAAGAGTTCATTCGACTGTAGGAGGGTTTTACCATAACAGGTTAAACCTGATTTTTCCCTCGATTTGAAATTATATAACCGACCATGGATAGAAATTTTATAGAAATTAGACAAAATACAATTCCATATACGATTTTATGCTAACGTGTGTGTGTGTAAGAAATGAAGATGAATTTATATAATGAATCGATTCTAGTGACACAGCGAGTCATATGATGACGGTATAAATTCCCATAATAACTGGAGCACTGGGAATAGTCCCTAAGACCTTTGCAAAGATATGTGAAGAAATAGAGATTCAAGGAAAAAGTGAGTGAATTCAAATCACAGGTCTCTTTGAAGTCGACGAGGAAATTAAAAATAAAACACTTGAGGAAAATTAATATCATTTCATCCCCAGAGAATTCCAATAAACGTTTCCCTTATAAGTAATAATAATTATAATAATATACCGATGACGATGAAAGTTACAACCCACAGAAATCATCGGCTTTAATAGATATTGTGAATAGCAAACTGAGAAAGGGATAAGACTGCAACACTCTCCATCAAAAGGGAAAGCAATAAATTGGCTCAAAGTGAATATAAAACAGAGTAGGTTAGGAAGAGTAATACATTAGAAACTATGCAAATGATTTGGGTTCTGCCATAAAGAATAATAGAACGGTTCAGCAGATTTTCTAAAAACAAAAAGAAAAATACTCGAGGAATTTGAAATCAAAAGAGATAATCTCATTTATGAAATGTGATTGGGTTTGGTTGTTGTGAACATGGTAATGTGAACAAGGATAAAAAGCTGGTAGATGATAGATGTGGGTGTGTCCCTGCAGACTATTGGATGAAGATGAAAGAAAGAAAATCGACAAAGGTTTTAGAGAGGGCTGACTCAGGAGAAATTAGAAATTTCACAAACGAATCTGACTGCTGAGATCACGTCTCTGATGTCGACGTGTTGGAGATTTAACAGATAACAACAAGAAGAACACTAAGAAGGAAAACGGAATAGATCATTTGATGGCATATTGATACAGGAATATAAAATCATCCATTTTTTACTAACAGGGAATATTAAAAATCTGTGGGCTGACACAACGAATATTAAAACTTCATACATGTCTCATTTCTTGGCAAAGTTCAAAAGAAGTTTATTTTTGTGTATTGCAAATATATGAAATTCTAGTAGGGTTTATATACTATCAAAAAGATAAATTTCTCTACTAGTCCTCACCAGTACAAGGCTCAAGAGTCACTCAAAGTAGAGAGTTACTTAATTAAATTTCTGATATGAATGCAAGAGTAGGAATTGAGGATTATGTGGATTGTAGGATAGTGTTGTATCGCGTCTTTTCGAGATAACAGGGAGAAATAAATAAGGAAGAAAAACTCGTGGGTAAAAATGATAAAGCAAGTTTACTACTCAAAGGTCCACTTAGTAATTAACCCGCCAAACAATTTCCAATGGCACGCAGCCGCAAATGACATCACGTAGTCAGAAGCAATAACTACTACAACGCAAAGAAGATATTTAGTTGTTTCAATTTTAATATATACTTAAGTAAATATACTATATATTACTATATAAAATATATTGTAGGTATATTGACCATGACTTGTATAAAAATACGTATGCTGTTGGCACACTGAATGATTTTAAAACCCTAAGTCGGTACATAATCAGCAAAAGGTTGCCGACCCCTACTCTAGGGGACAACAGCACTATTTCTTGTTGTTGGGGATTTGGGAATTATATCAAAAGTATACGTGGATCAAATTCCTGGAAGTCCTAAAATATGTGAATTGTTAAAAATCATACTCATGGGGACTTCTCACATCTTGCGTAGATTTCTCGCCATACTATGACCAGAATAGCGGATTTTTGTTTTCTCTGATTTACATGGCGCCTAGTCTGTTTACATCTGCTGAATAAAAAATAATGTTGTCTCTTGAAGTTTCCAGTCAGGACTGGAGGCGAGGAACTTGTATTAAACAAAGCAAAGGCAAAACAACAATAATAATAATGGTAATAAATGTGCTTGCAGTTGCAGCCAACAAAAAATTCTGCTAGTGGAAATAATAATAATAATAATAATGATAATATTTTATATGTGAGAAAGATGACGGTTAACGCTAGACTTGAAAAGGTTATGATTATAGTGATCGAGGAAGTATTCTCTTGGGAGTCGTTTCTATATAGCAGCGGTCTTCGGGAAGATACTGCTCGAGTGGAACTTACATCTCACCAATGGAATAGGAAGAGAGTGAAGATAGTTTGCTACAATGGGCGTGGCATCGGGTGGGAGGGATCTTAGCCGTGAAAGTTAGAACTAGTGGAATGTAGTTCATCTAAATACTTTTCATGAAAATAGCGATAGAGGCTAGTGAGAGGCTTGTGACTTTTCGTCTGTGAGAAAGGGGTTGTAGGGTGGAAAATAATTCATCACCCACAAAGATGTGGAAATGCTTTTGTACTCTATTGAGACTGGGAAGTGAAGACTGGGTAGCTCCTGTCCATATATGGCAGCAGGACTCCGTTTTCGGGCATATTTGACTCTTGTAATTGCATCAGGAGATGTACATCCTTAGCAATGGAAGTCTCTAGTCAAGACTGTGGTGGTGGTGGTGGTGGTGGTGGTGGTGGTGGTGGTAGTGGTGGTGGTTGGAAACTTGTACTACACAAAGCAAAGGCGAAGCAATAATAATAATAATAATAATAATAATAATAATAATAATCTTGAAGTTGAAATCTAAAAAATGTGACACATGATGAAATCAATAATAATAATAATAATGTAAAGCCGAAGTTGATAACGTTAACACTCATTAATGATTACGAGCATCTGGATTAAAGGCTGAAACGGAAGGATTTATTCTTGCAACGCAAGACCAGAGTCTCCTTTACTAGAAACTTTCAGGCAAATATAATACATAATAGCGTCGATCCAAAATGCAGGTTGTGTGACAAATATCAGGAAACCATAGCCGATCTAATCTCAGGATGTTTTTTACTTGCGTCAAATAAATATAAAAATCCTCACGATAGAGTGGGGGCAATACATATACTGGACAATGTGCAAACATTTTGGAAATGATATTAATAAACATTGATCTGAACATTACTCAGCACCGGTTGTAGAAACAGAAGACATGCCAATTCTAGGGCATTACACTATCTTTACAGAGCAGAAGACTTAATCAAATAGGTCAGATATGATTGTCAAAAACTGAAAAGAAAAAAAATTGCCTACGAATTGATATGGCGCGCCCAGCGGACTGTAACATCGCAACGAATTTGAAAAACTATCGAAGTATAAAAATCTGGAAATCGAAATAGAAAAAATGTGGAAATTGAAAACAAGAATAGTACAAGTTATAGTAGGTGCGCTTGGAATGATAAAAAAAGGAACACAACAACACAGTGAAAAAATCTCTGGAAATTCTAGCTTAAGAGAAATACAAAAAATTGTGTTGATAAATTACAGACCACACACTAAGAATAACTGCCCATGTAATTCTAGTGATGTTATGGGAGTTAGAAAAACAAATCATGAAATGAAACCATAACAACACACCACTACCTGTCTTAGGTCTACCCGCAGACTTTGCGGTCGTAGCAGAAAACGAAATATAATGTTGATGATGATAATAATAATAATAATCTTGAATTGGACATTTCAAAAATGTGGCACATGAGGACATCAATAAATCCAATTGTTGTTCGAACCCTCAGTTTGATTGGAAAAGGTTCCGATAAACTCAAATTATGCAAGATGATATATCACAGACGTGCCGTGGTCTCCCTCTGTCTCTTCTACAAATACTTTCGCTGTTCCCCGGGCTACATGAATTTAAACGAGCAACCAGGCTGACATCTCGGTCCCACAATTTCACCCTCAAAACGGTTAAATGTAACCGTCTCGTCTTCTCAAATAGGTTCTTCTCCCACACTTCGCGTCTGTGGAAATCCCTTCCCCTTTCTTGCTTCCCCGATGTCTATAATCTTCAAATATTTAAATAAAATATCAATCGACATCTGACACCCTGAGCTTGTTCACAGTCCTTCTCTGTATCCTTTCCTCTTTACTCTTGTTCTCAATCCTCTGTAATCCCTTGCGTGCTAGTGGCACCCCTGCCTTGCTCGGGGTGAACTGCCTTAAAAAAAACTCACTGAAGGGATACCTGGTAGCCCATGCCTTGAAGAAATACAAAAGATTGTATTCACAAGTACAGCTCACATTTTACGAAGGGCTTTATCTATGTAAAATTTGTGTGTTCTTTTGTCTTTGTTTTTTACAAGCCTTTTCTGACTTTATGTTTCTGGTTGGGACCCGGAAGGAAATGTGCATACGACAGAAATCTAAGGAAATAATAATAATAATAATAATAATAATAATAATAATAATAATAATCTGTTAGATGTTTCGGACCCAGACGACATAAAGAACATCTTTGAAAATGTTCGAGAAACTATATAAATGCAAGGACCTCGATATAGAAATCAGTATAATGTGTCATCTCAAGACAACAACATTACCAATTTTCAGTGATGTTTTTGAAATGATGCCAAAAAGAACAAACATATGTGAACCAAATTCCTGGAAGTTCTAAAACATGTAAATTGCCATGAATCATTCTCATAAGTTCTCACATGTCATCATCACGATTTCTCTCCATACACTATTTTACAATGACAGGTTTTTGTTTACTTTGATTGCATCGCACCTCACCTGTTTGCATTTTCTGATAGCAGAACTTGTTGTCTCCTGATGTTCCTCTAGTTCAGACTTGGGGGGGGGGAATAGTACTGCACAAAGCAAAGGCAAAACGCAATAATAATAATTGTAATTAGAAATATTTGTAATGAAAAATCAATATAAAAGATACCAGTGAACATGCTGCAGTGAACGTAGCGCATCTATCTATCGATATATCGATTTTGCATAATGTGTATGTGTGTTATATTGCTTAAAATAGGCGTCAACTTCCACGAATATTATATACTTAGGGATACGTGCCAATGTTCGCGTTAAAATTCAGTAATCTGATAGTATGTATGTCGACATTTACATTATATATCGATATCTACACACGCCATATTTCCAATATTGATCACTCTTCACTTAATGACCGGAATCCGCTCCAAAGGCATCGCCACCAAAAGAACCGGTCGCTAAGTAAGAAGTTATACCTGATTTCTATTTCAGGAATATTACCGGTATAAAATATACAATATATATAAAATATACAATATATATATAAAATATGACCAAAGTTACAAAAAGAAATTCTGAATAGACTGGCGTGTTATTTTTATGTTTCATGTTACGATATTTTATAGCTGGTCGTAAGTTCAGAGGTCACAAGAAAGCAAAGTAGTAAAGTAAGGAATGGCTCTCTCTCTCTCTCTCTCTCTCTCTCTCTCTCTATATATATATATATATATATATATATATATATTATTATTATTATTATTATAGTAATACTCAGTTGGAAAAAATAAACTCGGATAGCACAACTTATAAGTCCATCAAAACAAATTAGTACCCTAGGAAAAAAAATGGAAAAAAAGAAAGAGCCAGGAGCAACCTACCTAGGTTTCAGGTTACCCTGAAGATCCGTTTAAGTGAAACCTAAGTAGGTTGTTCCTGGCTCTTTAGGATTTATTTCATTTACACACACACACACACACACACACACACACACACACATACACACACACACATATTCAGACATATATTGTTAAATATAACAGACAACGAATGTCTATTATGTTTGATCATGAGCCGTTCTCAGCTCCGTATAATGGCTTTAATTTCAGGAGAAAATAAAGAGAAAAACTGTCCAAGATTTGAATATTTTTATTACGCTGTTCATCGATCTAAGCTTTCGGCTCACATGTAAATTGTGTATCAATTTACATGCCCGTTCAGAGATTGTATCTCTGATACTAATAATAAACCTACTACATATATTGGTTTTACTACAACTACGCTCTCCTGCTTACCTGTCACTTT